AGAAAGCTCAAGAGAGAGGAAGAGGCAGGAGGAGCGTGGGAAAGGTCAGAGACTGACAGTAACAGTTATGAAATACTATGCAACCCTGACTCTGTGTCAAATACACTGCACAAATGCTCTCCTCAAAGAGAAGGTGGAACTTGACAAACATCAAATAATGGGTAGTGAGTTAATAAACCGATGAGAGGAAAAGAAACTTAAAGACTTTTAAGGGTTTTCTACACATGTATTTTGATTTACATTTTGAGGATTCAGATCATAAGCACTTATTTTAATAATTAATATTAATGAATTCTCCTTGTCACTCCACTCACTCCTATAAGCAAATTGCCCATGTGAATGGAAGTGATTGGCCAATTTAGTGGAAATGACTTAACTGTTTATTATGGTGAAGAGGAAGCTAACTAATTCAAAATAATGCTTATTATTAAGATCACAAAATGAACTTGATTATTTGAGTAAGAGAACAACAAAAAAATGGAATTATTTTAGAATTTTTTTCTTTCTTCTAATGAAAAGAAAAATTGACATTTATTTACCCATCCATTGAATTTATTAATTCAACTCCTAGTCATAATAATTCATAGACTAAAAATGGAATAGTTCATGTGGATGTTCAAGACTTAAATTTTTAGTTATGCTTAACACTTTCAAGTACTTTAACAACATTTGATAGGGACAATGAATAGAAAACAATTTTTGTATTAAATGCACAAAAATCTCAACTCTATTGAATTCATAATCATACAATTAACAAACTAATCCAGCCCTTCATTTTCCTTCTTCCTACTTGATTTCCTATTTTGTAGGAAATAAAACCTTAAAACCTCATGGGATGTTTAAGCTTTTGATTTTAAAGTTTTAAAACTACTAGAAATATTTTTAGGATTTTAATCATTGAGGAACAAATTGCTTTGATACTGATTATTAACCTAGACTTTCCCTGTTGCTAGAAGGATAACATATTTTATATGAATCAGTGTTATTTTCTGTGACAATTGGTGGCAGTATCTGATATGAGTCATTTTCTTACTCTGCTACTGAAAGAAATCAATTTTTAGCCACCTTTTCTCCTATGAAACATGTGTTTTCAGGAAGACAAGTAGGAG